AAAATTTCCCAAGCTGCCTTTTATAATTTCTGTTTGAAGTTTCTTGTAACCATTTGTTACAGATATAAAAGGTATTACCTTGTTGTGCTTCCCTTAATAAAGTATAGGTTTTGGAAATAAACCCCCTGGGCTACTGACCTTTTTATATTCTTAGAAAATAAAATTCCTCTGTTGCAGAGAGAACTGTGCTACCAAGCAGCCAAGCAGCTGCTTTTCAAATTACTAACAACTGAGCTATGGAATCATACAGAAGGGAAGAGTGAGTCTTGGTTCCCTGCTCCCTTTTTCAATTGTAGATTTTTGTATTTAACTCAGTGACTGTGGCTATTTGAAAAGAAAGGGCCACAAATGCTTGAGCAAGCAGATCATAACTCTGATTAGGGACAAGTTTTCAAATGCAAAACTAAGATATCGTGATTAAAAAAAAAAAAAGAAATAGAAGGGAATGGATCCTAAATTCATGACCTGACTTCTAAAATTACTGGCATCTTTTCATTTTACTAACTTTACAGGACCTCAGCAATTCTGAAAATGAGAGCATTCATTCAAGCTCCTATATTTGAGTCTAAGAGCCTGTATTTAAGCATCCATGCTTGAAAATCTTGGCCAGAATCTCTATTCATTCACTTTTGAGGAAAGTAATTTAGGAAAATAAATGTGTGCTCTTTACATATGGTTTACTTAGTCAAATAGTGTTCTGATCTTAAGACAAGTGGAAATAATTTAATGTATGAAGATTTGCAGTTTTCTAAATAGAGAGCTTAAAACCTAGAGATTCCACTTGATGGGAAATACCCATATTTTGAAATTACATTTAACCACATTAAGACATTAGTGCATCAGCATTTTCCATGTAGCAGAAACTGTGAAAAGTTGTAGTTGGTAAAAGTTCATATGTTCAAAATCTTTGAGGTAAATGAGATTAAGTATTTATGGACCTTGTGAAAAATTCTGTGGCCATTTCAATACCTGCTTCTGTAGTGAGGAAATTGGAAAACCTGGGGCTCGGAGTTCAAGGGCTGCCTGTTCTGAAACACGGGACACTAGAAATCTTGATTTCCAAACATACTACTTTGCATGAATACTGGGAATTTTCAAAAACCTATTAGTTTTGTAGAAGTTTATCACAATTGCCATATATTGACCCATATTACTCCGTAGTTGCATGTATTGTAACCATATACAGTGTAGTGATTTCTAGCTGTACAAGATATAACTAGCCTCTACCATGTGGGCTGTTTTAGCTCTCTTGATGTGGAAAGTCAGGTATATGTGTTAAAAATAAGCAAACCAAACGTGTACTTTGAGTTAGCTGGAGAAGTTGAAGAAGGACCACCTTCCATTTGGAGTGAGAGAAGAGGTTTATGCTGGTCATCCCTTTCTCCCAAGACTTGATTCCAGGTTCCCTTCAACCCAACAACTGAGTTGCACTGGAGTCTTTAGGCTCAGGGAATTGGAAAGAACCTGTTGGGCCATCTCGTTAACCATAGATTTGTTACGGCTGTTGCAGGAAACCAAAGAATTAAAATCCTTTTCATTACTTGATCTGCCTTCCCAGCAGAAGAGAGTTGGGTTTTTCTTTAACCACAGCATCATATTTTTTCAGTTTCATGCCACTTAATTTCCAGTAGCAAACTTCTGTGTCTTCAGCTGCTCACTGAACTTCAAAGGCCCTGTATGTCACTGTTCCTTGTTTTGCAGGTGAGGTATGCTCAAGTCTACCTCAGAAGACTTGAGTATCTGCCCCCTGCTATACCCAATCTTTTCTAACTGTAGCTGCAAAGTGCCCGTGAAGGATAGCTGTCTACATGCCTATCCCTTAACTTATCGTAGGAGCAATACAGTTTAATTTCAGTTTTATAAAGCTCATATCCCAAAAAATGTCTCTGTCCTGGAAGAAGACCAGTCTGAAGAAAGGAATAGCTTTCACTGATATCAAATACAGCAAAATGTCCACGTCTGATGAAGTACAGCTTTCAGTGGAATCCTTCACAATATCCTGATTGTCACTCAGGATTCTTAGAGCTAGTAATTCAATCAAGTTGGCAAATAATTATGGCATCCCTTTCACCTATCTCTTGAGAAAGATTTTTTTTTTTTACAGAATCTTCTGTATCTTTTACAATGGACGTTGGTTGATCTTTAAGCTTCTAAACCTGTTTCATAAATCCTTTGAAGCAATCCATATCTTTAAGCTTTTGCATATTGCAGGCACCAGAAGAGGTAAAAGATGTCATCTGTGTGTATGCTAGTACTGTTATCTTCAGCAGGTCTTCCAGCTTTCAGTCTGTGCTCTATTGGCTTCTAGCACCATGCTAAACCTCACATTTCACAGAACTAAAAGATCATCTGGAGTAAAATTTTCTGTGGCTGATGCACATTTAGTTGTAGAAGTCAGCAGGTCACTATACTGTTTTGGGGATATATTTTTGTAAGTGATAATCTTCTACTTTGCCTCTGACATACACTTTCCTTCCAGCTGAATCTTTACCACGAGGCTAACAACTTGAAAGAGATTTCTGTGTGGGAGTACAGCTACTCCTTTTTTCTTTTTCCCAGTAGGAGACGAACTAAAGAAAATGTCACCCACTTGTTCCCATTTAAGTTTCATACACTCTGGGTCATTCAGATAAGTATAAACTGCTACTGAACATCTGAGTGTCTTTGTGTCAGATTTTTTTCTTTTCAACTAGTGTGTTTCATCTTGAAATATTTTATATCAATTCCATTTAACTAAATGATGGTTTGAAGGAAGACAGAGCTTTCTTGTTTTTAACTGATTTTTTACTCTTCTTATTCCACTTTGCAATATATAGATAAATAACCCTGGAGAAAAAAAAGGCAAAGAAATTACTGAAGAACACCAGCTGGGAAATAGTCCTACCAGAATCCATACTCAGCCCCTGCTAAGCAGAGGAACCTATGTGTATGTTGACATTCAACATCTATTTGTCTTGAGATACTGCTTTGCCAGTATGCAAGGCCACTGGTGTTGTACTCTGTTTCTCTTGGCCTTGTCTCTGCTAATGAGATGTATTTCCTGATCACTGCTATTTCCTGATTTTTTTCTTGGCAAGGTGCCTGGTTACTGCGGAATCTGCATGAGCCAGGATGGCCTCTTCTACTCTCCTGCTGGGCTAGTGAAGCAGATGTAATTGCTGTGATCCCTTCAGCTTGGTAATGGGACACTCAGCAGCTGGCAACTTACTCCCTTCCCTCTCCCCTCCTCCCTCCAGGGCAAGCTGGAGATTGAAAGACCTTTGTCTTTCTGGAAAGCATGTCGTGGCTTAGTGTTTTGGATATTGTTAAATGCAGATCAGCTGTGGGTTTATTCTGCCATCATGATTATCTCATATATAAGGCTTCCAGCCCTTTTCTGCTTTTTCTGTAAGCTCATAATGTGATCCACAGTGCCCTTGAAGCCAATACAGCAGCTTCACTGGCAACCCTGGGTGTTGGGTTGGATCTTAGGTGCAGCATTTCTAACACTGCAAAATCCAACCATACATTGCTTATCACAACAATCTGCTGTTTCTGCTGAGAGGTCTGTTATGATACTGTGAACCATTATATGTATTTTTACATTTTCTTGTGGACTTTGTTCAGTGGGAAGCAGTATTACTCATCAAAGAAAGAAGAGAAACATTAAAGAGGAAGGCACATATTGTTCATTAATGTAGGAAATGGAGAGAAAATAACCATCATCTTTTGGGTTAAGCCCAAACATGTAATGGAAGTACATTGGCTTGAACTAACATAGGTTTCCTCACTTCTTGTTCTTACTGAAGAATATAGTAGCATCAGTCATCTTTCACTTTAATCAACATCTAAAACATCTTTTTAGATGAAACGTATCAGTTAACAAGTACATTTAGCTTTATAAATTTCAGAGAAATGAGAGACCACTCTTCCACCCTTGAGGTGAAAGAAAGGTTGGGCCAATGCTAAAGTCTAAACAAACCATCTGTTCTGTCTTCTTAGTGGCTTTTTCAAACTCTGTGCTTCTCTGCTAACAGGAAAAGTTGCTAAGCTAGGGATAAATGTAGAAGACTACAGATTCTTGACTAAATTCCACTGACAGGTTTTTGTATTCCTACCACAGAAGTTAAGATCAAATTTTACTGTTTACTGTCCCTCAAAGAGGGAGCGAAGTTAAGGGCTTTAAACAAGGTATTTGTAATGTCCCAAGTTGACATTACTATAGAAAAATCCATATACTTTGTCAAAAGGTGCCAATCTTGCTGATACTGGCTTCACTCATCTTGTTTTGAAACTTTTCAATTAGCTCAAGTCCTGTAACTACCAAGGTGAACTCAATTGTGGTGTTTTGAACAAAATGTTTTCTTTCTTCCTGCCTTTAACCATCCCTCCCTCTTAGGAAAAGGATGTGGGAAGATGTGCAGTCTCCATTCTATTCACTACACCAGTGAATAGCTGGAAGGCACTCACCTGAAACATCTAACATTGGGTTTCTGTAGGATAGCTGTTGATTCCCCAAGTTTGCTTTTTAGAAAAGATCTGTGTAAACTCAGTGGTCCTGGAATATCACCTGATTCAAATTATTATTTTTTAACCTTCTCTTGCACCTCCACTTCTCCACGGACTTCTTACCACAAAGATAAGTTGCCAGATTGATGTAGACACTGACAGCAACAACTTTCACAGCTCAAGTCCCCAAAGGGAGAAAAACTGAGCCTTCTTTTAAGGAGCCAATAGAAGGAACAAGATCCTTAGCTGTTATAAATCATCACGTTCCACTGAAGTCAAAGGATCTGTATTTGTTTACAACCATCCAGAAACTGATTATTTCTGTTATTGTCATACGCGTTCAAATTGCGTCTCAGCATCTTGGCCACAGAGCAGGACTCCCCTGAAAATACTGTGCGCTTTAAACTTGACATCTTAAACACAGATAAAGTTTTGTACATTCTGATGTTGTCCTTTAACAACAGGAATTAGGAACCTTTGAACTAATGCTTTTCTCTCCCTTCTCATATTAGGCGAAACCCACTCCACTTTCACCTCATCGCAGATGCAATTGCCAAACAGATCCTGGCAACTCTGTTCCAGACATGGATGGTCCCTGCTGTGCGCATCGACTTCTATGATGCAGATGAGCTCAAGGTAAAGACAGACGTACACAGGTGTTAGTCATATAGTTCTGATTTCATGTCATCCCTTTTTTATTCATCTCTTTTTGGCTGGTGACTTGCAGGGGAGCAATTGGCTAAAAAACTCTCCCTGACTGCGACTAATTCCAACTCACATGACTGTAACCTCAGTTACGCTTAACTAGAAGATACTAAGTGGCTAAAATCAGTGCAGTTTCTCTGCTAATGGAACATGTTGTTTAGCAACTTAGAATTTTACCTGCTGTCAAGAGGATTCTTGCTGTCTAATCGCATTCTGTTTTGCTAAGGAGACTTCTTACCAGTAGTAATGGTGGAATCTTAAGTATCTTATTCAATAAGCCCAAATCTTTACTGAAAACACTCAACTGCCTTGCATTCCTTAAGCGTGGATGTGTAACACCGTAAGTGCATATACTCGTATGTACAATCTATACAAGGTATTAATACTACAGTTTGAAATAGCTACCTTTTTTTGTCCGGATGCCCTTTCAAAAGGAATAGGAAAAGAGTTCCAAGGGGGGCCAAAAATCACTTACTCAAAACATAAAGTAATTATCGTTTAATAGTTACAAAGTTTAAATTAGAACACGGAGGCACAGCATTGATTTTGAGCTGCGTGGTTTTTAGCTGTGGAGGTAGAATGAAAAATTCAGATTTTAGCATTTCGAGTTGGTGGCAATAATTTGTACGACTTACCAGACTGTTCTGAACAGCACCCTGAAAGGAGGAAAAAACAAGAATTAGCAAATTGCTGTACTAATTAAGGGGTAAACTCCATATTGTAGAATCTTGAATACAAAAGGGTTTTGAAAGAGATGGAAAAGGGGAAAAATGATCCTTGAGAAAAATACTTTATTTCTAACTGGTTTTATTTTTTTATTGGTTCTTCTACATGAAGCCATAAGCTGATATTAACCTAATTAGCCAGAGCTCTCCCTTCTGTTCTTCATAGCTTCATAGCAAGGAGGAGGTTTGTTCTTATAAATCTTGTACATGTCTATGTTACGTGTGCTTTTCTGCAAATTGTAGGGCTTTTAATTAGCCTCTCAGCTGGGGAAGACAGACCTCTCAGTGTTTTCCTTCTGGTCATTTGGGTACGGTCCAATCTAGTTCAGTAAATAATAACCAAGAGAGCTTACTTCAGTTATCCCCAACTTGCTGATTTACAGGCGAAGCACCGTGCAGATAGGAGGCTACAGAGCAAACTCTTGTTTTATCCTTCTGTCTTCACTCAACCTTAATTTTTATATAAATGGTGACCTAAATCAACACTTGGCTGTCTTGCATGTAACCTTGCATGAGGACCACTTTCACACTGGATAGAGGTATTGATGCATATACACATCTTTCCAGGTTTGCCACTCTTGTTCAGAGCTCATGCTGTACACCAGGCAATTTCCCTTATTTCAGTAGCCAAAAAGCACAGTATGCAGTGATCAGCATAGGTGAATGTGACAGATATTGCCAAAGGAGAGCAAAGAGTTGTAAATATAAATGGAGTTTTAAAAAGCCAGGTATGATGCTGGCTCATATCCAGATCATTCTGCAAGTTTTAGCAAAGAAGACGGAGGAGCTGTTTACAGACAGCTGTAGGAGCTCGTCTCATTTGTTTCCTACATAGCCTCTAGAGAGGATTTAATGATTGGTTTGGGTTCATGTATTTCACCTGCACTCTTGGGAGCTATATTATGCTGCCTGGTGTTAAGAAAACATAGAACTGATGCTTGAATGTTTACTAGAAAGTCTGTCTTTCTCTAAAGTTATCTATGAATCCACTGTTACGGTATATGTTTCAGTTTGAATGACTCTCCATAGTTCTTTTTTAAACATGTAATCAATACCATTTCCTGACTTTTAAAAGGATTTAGACTGAACAACAGCATGAGAATTTTCTGCTTAGCTTTCTTTCACCAATGTTCAGTTGTTTTGGAACACATTGTAGTTGCTACAGAAAACATTTTATTTCATGTTTGTTTTTTTTCCCATTGGATATGTATGAGCTTCCAGCCTCTTCCTTCTAGTGCACCAGGAGCTGGCATGTTAGCTTAAGCCCTTGAGTCCTGGGAAAAATCCTGCTTCTACTCCTGTTCCCACTCAAACAGTGGAAGGGAACACCTAATATTAGATCCTCCATAAATAGTATGGATGCTTTTTTGGTTTCAAGTAGCTATTTAGATTTCGGGCAACAGTTTCCACTAGTGTATTAGTTTTTTAAAAGGCAGAATTTGGAGACTAAAATATTTGGCAATGTTTCTTAAAATATCCTGCAGTTTTTAAAAATGCATGCTGTTTAGCTTAGAGCAACCAGTGTCCTGAAGGAAGGTGTAGAAAATTAGACTCGGCTGTGGCTGCTGTTTTCTCTCAGGTTTTGGAGGAAAACAGGGCGCTTCATTGCAAGAAAGGGAAGAAAAGGTACCACTGATTATATCAGAATTTCTAGGGCCAGCAAACCAAGATATCTACTTTGCTGCTGTGATTTAAGCATGTCAGATGTTCCTTTTAAAATTTAGTGAAGTCTTATTTTTCCTTTTGCAAGGTGACACAGCTGTTTGCGTTCATGTTGCACCACAAAGAGCCTGTGTTCATTCTCTCTCTAAAAGCGGGTGCTGCTGAACTAACCACAGCCTGCTTGGAAGAGGGATGGAGCACGGGAAAGAATAGCTGGGGAAAGGTGTATCTTCATTTGAGGCACGTGATAAGGGATAGGCCAGAAGGGGGAGACACTTAACTGTGGAGCTGAGCCAAGATAACAACATCTCCAGGAAAAGGGTCAGACACAATTGAGATGGGAGCTTGCTGGATATATTTCTTTAAACCAGTTAGTTCGAGAATTTTAACAGCCAGTTCTGCTAAGATGATCATTAACCTCCACCAACATAACTTGGCCTGTCTCCTTGCCTATAACCACAAGGGAGATAGATAGGCGTTTAAAAACTCTCCCTCAACTTACAAGCTGTTCAGATTGTGAACTCTCTCCCATTAACTAAACTTGCTACATGCAGTTAGTAGTCAGCATTAAGCATCCTTGAAGTGTGGGCAGCTGATAATGGTGCCAGTAATTGAGCTATTCCATAGCTACAGACTTCATTCTTGTTCTACTCAGTATGGCCCACACATAACTCTTCCAAATTTATGTGGTCACATATGGCTGTGACTATAAACTAAAAGGTTACTTGGCAAGGTAGATTCACTTTATGTGATCACTTCAGTCATGTTATTCACCCTGGATCCTAATGCAGTAGATGTATGTATTACAGCAATGAATCCCAAAAAATAACTGGAAACTGAAAAGTGTCTTCTTTGAACATTAAAACAAAAAACCATACCTGTGAAACATTGATCTAGAAGACACATTATAGCTGTGACTTGCTCATATCAGGCTGCAGGATACTGTGATTTTTTCAGTTAAGTCTTACCTAAAGGAACTCTAGAACAAACTGTTGAAGATGTGCAGCATGAGCACTAGCTTCTACACTTCATTATTTCATATGGAATCTCATGCCATTTCACTCTCAAGGAGGTATAAGCATTAAACCCGTTCGTGATCCGCACTGTCCCAGAGCAGAAGCAACAGCTGGTAAAGCAGTACTGTATGTGTGATGGGTGGAATACAGATGAGGTGAGTTTGCTTTCCCAGATGTTGCCTGACAGACTGATGACAACATGACATGGGCTGAAGAAAGCAGAAGGGAGAATGAGCAGTTGCCTGCTCTGCTGTGAGTAAATCTTGATGGCCTAGATAAACATAGTCTCTTCATCACTGATAAAGCAGAAAAGCCATCTCCTTTAAATAGTTTAGCCCACAAATGTGCCACATTTGTTTATTTATGAACTTAAAAGGGATGGTGAATGGGTTTTTGTAGTGGATGAGCATTTGACCTGAAAATGAAGTGTGAAAAGCTCCATACTTTGCTGCATATGTGGACAATATTCCAGCTTTTACTGTTTCTGGAAACAGTAGTCCACAAATCTGACTCCCAGTGCTGCATTAGGTGATTTCATATCAGAAATGTTGTCTGCACAGTCAGTCAAAAACAGTGCTCATATCCAGAGAGCAAAACCAAGCTGGGACAATGCATGGTGTAAAGATCACCTAACTTTAAGCCTTTATTTAGTTATGAGATGAGTAATTTCTTAGCCACTTCATCTGAACTGTGAAAGCAGTTCACTAGGTCAGTGGTTGACATCATTTGGACAGATAGATGGGCAAGGGCTGTGAGATCTAAGCAGAAGAATGAAGTTTAATTCTTTATTTATAATTATAGTGTAGCTGGGTCTCAGAGCTGTGCTTGTGTGCACTCCCAGGGTGCTTAAATTCCCAGAGCAGTCCAGGAACTCCCAGGCTTGTCGTCTGCATAGGTGAGATAAAGGGCTGGTTTGAGACAGCAGACCAAGTTGAAACTAGGTGATTGATTGAACTGCTGACCATCTACATAAGAAATATTTGACAGCTTTTTACAGGAGCTATCCTAGAGGGAATTTCAGACAGTTCTTGAGATCTCCCAGGCAGACCCTGCTGTACCTAGAGCAATTTGTATGCTTAAGCATGTCGATTAACATCCTGGGTGAAGAATCTGGTTGTCCCAGATATTCACAGACAGTTCCTGCAGCAAAGTTAATCAACTGTATAAGGGTAAGACAATCAATAGAAACAGTACCTACATGTGTAGAAATGATCACGTAGGACATGCTTGAAATAGTTAGAAAATGTTTTGTATATAGGTTAAGGTAATCTATATCAATGCATTATGCATGTCTTGCAGCGGTCATGTAGGACCACAGGCCAGTTGGATTACAAAACTTAGACAGAAAACATGTTTTAGGGAGTCTCACCCAATCCAACTAAGATGACCCTGCAAGGACCCTTACAACAGAGACTCTCTTTACCATCCAGACAGCAATCAAGTGTCCTTTCTGGCACATCATATTGTCCATACAAGAATTATTCTAAGTCAGTATACTGTTAGCTGTTTTAAAATATTCTGTGTAAAT